AATTTTAAACCTTGGCAGATCTGGTCTTCAATTGCGATTTCTGTTCCCAGAGTATTATCAGTGTTCCATTTTTCTGTGAACGTCAGCCCATACTCACACCATTTATATTTGGTCTCCAAGGTCCCAGTAACTTTACCAGTGTCTGTATTTGATGAACCAGATGTTGAGAATTCCACTCCACTGCATGACTTTGTTTTCACATCTAGTTTCACCAACCCAAAACCAAATCCTTTGTTGAAAATATCTCTGGCAGCTTTACCAAGGTCAGCATAGGATGGAGGAATGCACATTGGCCGCGCGCAGCTCTGCCCGTAGGTCGCCATGGAGAGACAAGGGAAGAGATCTGGTGGTCTCCGAGAAGGGCCGCCGCGCAGCTCTGCTCGCAGCTGAGGCCGCCCGACTCGCTCAAAGTCGAGCTGCAGGTGCCGCGGCTGGAGGGCGAAGTCGGTAATCTTTTTTAAAGTAATGTGAGACTTGAAAATATAAATAGCCTTTCAGAATAAGAAATTAGGATGTTTATATAGAGATGGCAATCATCAGAACAGAGCAAGAAAACACGGCCTGGTTCAAAATCAGGAAAGGAGTGTGTCAGGGATGCATCCTGTCTCCATACCTGTTCAATCTATACACAGAACAGATCATTTGAGAGGCTGAGCTTTGTGAGGAGGGATGTGGCATCAGAATTGGAGGAAGATTGATCAACAACTTGTGTTACACAGACAACACAAACTGAGGAAGACCCAAAGCATTTGCTGTAGAAGGTCAAGGACTTCAGTCTTTACTATGGATTGAAGCTCAACATCAAGAAAACAAAGATTCTCACCACTGGGCCAATTGGCAGTACTATTATAGATGGGAAAAGCTTGAGCCTGTTAACAAATTCACCTTGCTCGGTTCCACAGTCAACACTCTTGGAACCAGCAGCTAGGAAATCAAAAGGTGAATTGGATTAGGAAAGTCTACTGTCAGGAGCCTCTTCAGAGTTGTGAAGGGCAGAGATGTCAGTCTAGAGACTAAGATGTACCTGGTCCAGGCCATGGTCTTTGCAGTTAACTTTCTCTGCATCTGAGAGCTGGACATTGAATAAGGATAACAGAAGAACAGTTTATGCCTTTGAGTTGTAGTGCTGGAGAAGAATATTGAACATACCATGGACTCCCAAGAGAGGGTGAAACCAAGCTGCTTTTTGGAGGCTAGGATTTTGAAGCTCTGTCTCACATACTTGGGCATGTTGCAGGGAGGGACCAGTCTTTGGAAGAGGACATCATGCTTGGAAGGGTGGAGGGACAGTGCAGGAGAGGAAGACCCTGCATGAGATGGATTGATACAGTAACTGGGGTAATGAGGGGCAGCTGTGTCAGAGACAGTGAGATTGGCTCAGAACAGGGCAGGGTTCAGACCTATTGTGTATAAAGTTGCTATGAGTCACAAGCAACTCGACAGCACATAACAACAACATATAGAAATGGGAGGCTGTAGCTAGGGAGAAGTTTCCATTCAGTAGAGAAAGCAAACACTGAGCATGTGCTGTTTACATGATTATGCCATGTGCTGTAGGAGATACAGGAAGGAGTAAAATATTTTTGGGTCATGACTTAGTAGTATTTGTCTTCCAACAGATGGGAGACTCCATGTGGGCAGGGGCTATGTCTATACTGTTTACCATACTGTCCCCCGAGTAGGACACATTGTAAATACTCAAGAAATGTTTTTCCCTACATACAGTGCATTCCTGAATGAATAAATGAATGCAGCACCTTTATTCTCAGTAGTTTGTTGAGATCTTACATTGGTGACAGGGGAAAACAATCAAAATATTGCCAGTGGGGTCCGAGTTGGCCTCAGAGTACTTGCCTTTTCTTAGTAAAGAATACTTACAAAGGGTATGTGGGGGAGCAGACTTTATTGTCAGTTGCAGCAATTAATTAAAACCGAGATAAAGGCTAATCCCTTTGGAAAAATACCATCACAAAAAAAGGGACATTTTGAGGAGGGAGGATTTGTAGCTTAGGTTAGGACTTAGATAAGGGCTCATATTTGTTTATTTGGCTGGTTGGTTGGTGGTTGTTTTTTAGGGAACCAAGGTGAGATGGATTGATACTGTAACTGGGGTTATGAGGGTAGGTGGGTCAGAGTCAGACTGGTTCAGAACAGGGCAGGCTTCAGAGCTGCTGTATGTAGGGTCACAGGCGACTCAATGACACATAGCAACAATAAAAAGTTTTCTTGGAAAAGGGGTTGATATGAAAATCAGCAGGTGCAGGCAACTAATCTTCAAGACAGAGCCTGGTTAAGTGCCCACCTTAACCTTAAGGCTAAGGCCCACCTTCAGCTCTGTCCTCACACAGCAGTCACTTTTTGCTTCAGTTCACACATGGCACCTGAAAGCACTTACAGATAACTTCAAGCTAGAATTGTTAGTGAAGTTCAAGATCAGTAGCAAGGAACATCTGAGGGATGCCTGTCTAAACGGAATTTTGCAATAATGTAGCGTGTGAGTGGGTCTTGTGATAAATAACTTGTGACTGGCCTTGATCTGAACAATCTTAGGACAAAAATACTGTGTTATGTTAGGAGGAAAAGGTAGTTTTAGGAAAGCAAATCCTGTAATGCAGAGAAGAAAGCAGAAGAGCGGGAAAGCTTGTGATCAGAGAAAACTTTACCAGTACGCATAATGCAAGAAGGTTCCATTAAGGTTTCTCCCTTCTATTAACTGTGAAGTCTCTTCTGATGTGAAGTAATGACAGATCAGGAGGGTTTCTCTTGATACCCAGTATCCCAGTAGAGATAAGTTTAGGTTTTGGTTTTTTATGGATTTTTAAAAATTTTATTAATTTAAGATGTTCTGTGAGTGAGAAACTATTTTCCTAGCAGAAAGTATTAGGCAGGAGTGGGGTGATTATTATATTCTCAAAGATGATGCAAGTGTTAAGAGCCTATTCTAAAGGAGGCTAGAACATTGAGAAGAATGAGATCCCAGAACACTTGGTGCTCATGCAAAATCTATACATAGTCCAAGAAGTAGTTGTCTGAACAGAACAAGCATGGTTTAAATCAAGAAAGGTATATGTCAAGGCTATATCCTTCATTCCTATTCAGTGCATATACTGAGCAAATAATTAGAAAAGTTGGACTGTATGAAGAAGAATGTGCATGATGATTGGAGGAGGACTCATCAGCCTGCCTTTATGCAGATGACACAGCCTTGCTTGCAGAAGATTAAGGAGACTTACTGAAGAAGATCAAGACTACCGCCTTTAATATGTATTACATCTCTGCATCAGGAAAATAAGAATCTTCATCATTGGACCAATATAGGTAACAACATCATGATAGATGGAGAGAAGATTGAAGTTGTCAATGAGTTTATTTTTATCCACAGTGAACACCCATGATAATAGCAGTCAAGAAATCAAAGACAATGTTGTTAGAAAAATCTGCTGTCAAAGATCTCTCCCAAATGCTAAAGAGCAAGGATATCAGTTTAAAGACTAAGGTGCACCTGATCCACACCATGATATCTTCAATTGCTTCTTACATCTGAAAGTTAGATGATGAATAAGGAGGACTGAAGAAGAATTGATGCCTTTAAACTGGGGTGTTGGCGAAGAATATTGTGTATCCCATGGGATGAAGAAATACATCTTGGATAAAGTGCAGCCAGGGTGCTCCTTAGTGGAAGGGGTGGTGAAGCTTCATCTCACATACTTTGGTAATGTTGTCTGGGGGGGGGGGAAGACATCATGCTTGGGGGGAAGGAGAGGGTAGGAGGAAAGAGAGGCAGACCCTCAGCAAGATGGATTGACACAGTGACTTTGACAGTGAGCGGAAGCATTATCAGAGGCAGTAAGGATGGTACAAGGTTCTCATCTGTTGTTCTTGAGGTCGTTATGAATCTTTGTTGACAACAAACAATAATGTGGATGTTGAAGAAACTACCCGAGATGTGTCCTTGAGAAGTTCTCAGAGCTTGAGATGTTTTTCTTTTCAGTTTGCTTATAGACATTTCAAGCTCAGAGTACAGGCAGTTTCTGCAAATCCTATTCATTCTGTGCTGAAAGACCTAAAGCAGAGCCTCTCCTGTTTTAGGAGAACCAAACTTGCTGGAGTTGATTTGTATGGAAAACATCCACGTGGGTGAATGGTGGGCCAGGTGGTGGGAATGTAGGCTAGACCTTGTGCTGTTCAGGACCCTTAATGCCTTTAGTAAGGAGACGTGAAGGATTTCAGACTAACCAAGCAGTGAGATGGGAATGGCCCTTTGGAGGGATGGAAATGGATTTTATGACCTGCGGTGTTGAATAAGACAAATCAGAGGTAGAGGTATTAGGAGAGAGCTGCTGGGGATCAGGAGATGGGTTTGGCTTCCTTGTCAGCAGCAGACATCATCTGGGGAGGCATGGGGAGGGGTTGGAGAGAGACAGGACAAGGTCTCTGTTTAGATGTGGAGCTCAGGGGAGAAGGGAGCTCACTGATGCCTCTCATTTCTCAGCCGCAGTAAGAGGAAGCCTGCCCATGCTAATGACAGGCTCAGGCAAAGAGCTGGGGAAGGATGCAGAAAGGGTATGCGGTGCATGGATCTGTTTGTTTCTACATATATTCCCTCTTTCTCCCTCTCCGTCTCCCCCTCCTTTTCCTTCTCCCTCTCCCCTTCCTTACCTACTCTCTCCCCCCTTCCCCTCCCTCTCTGTCTTTCCCATTTCTAGGAGAATGATTCTGATTTTGGGGGACTCTTCTTATGGAGGCTTGTTTTTTATTTGTGGTTGGGTTTTTTTCTCCGCAGCATAAATCTTGTGGTTCAAGTCTGTGCTGAAGCAGTTTCTCTGGCCCTGGGGTTTATTGTGAGTGATCACTTCAGCCCAGAAGGCAGAGCAGCCAAGGCTGATTGCGGTCCCTCCACCCCCTTAAACACTTCCTCCAGCACCAATGGGGATCAGAAATGAGAAGCGGAAATGACCTCTTCAAGAGACTGTGTGTTAATTCCCGACTCTCTCCCACAGGTGTCTGTGGACCAGACGGGAGCTCCGGTCTTGGATGGCACTAGCCTGGGAGTAAGCGTAGGCCAGTCCGTGGACAGAGGCAACAGCCAGGCTTTTGGAAACTCCCAGAACGCCGGGGAACAGGGCTTCCCCTCTGCGAACCCCAGTGACAGCAGGTGAGAAACAGAACAACCTAACGTGTGTCCAATGCAGTGGGGACCCACTTAAACACACAGAACTTGGGTAGAAGTTTTGGCTTTGCCACAATTTGTGTGTGGAACCTGGGACCAGTCTGCAGTTAGTCACTAGCACCTCCAAGATGAAGTTAAGGATTTCCCCCCAGCTTTCTGCGCAGCATAGATAAGAAGTTCCTAGTGAGTCAGGCACCACTCACGAAGCCTCTTAGTAGGCCCAGACCAAGTTTGCCTTACTAAGCTTGGCACCCAGCGCAGGACGTAACCTGGGACAGGCAACCTGTAGTTGGTACTTGGAGTTTGAAGAAATGAATAGTATAGGAGTTACTAATTGTGACTAAGCATAGGTCACTCTTATCCTACTCAGTGGCCAAAGGACAATGTTGTTTCTTAGACCCCAGTTGCTCGAGCAGGTGCTCAAGCATCTGATCCCATTGTCCAGTTGGAGAAGCGTCTCATCTCCTCCCCAGTCCTGTTTGCCATCTGATGATTCTGCCTATTCTATCCTGTTACCTCATAGTCCTGAGTAAGCAGTCTAAAAAGCTTGACATTTCCAACCTTAGAGCAAAGGAACGGGCTCCCCACCAGTTCACAGAGCTGCTCACATGGTTGACCCCTGGCCAGTGATCACTTGGTTTCCTTAAGTCACTGCTCGTTCTTTCCTGGCTCCCCCTCTGCACACTCCCTCTCCAGGGTACGTGGAGGTGCTGGTCAGCTCAGAGCAGAAAATCTAGTCTTCGGGAGGACTGACTGCTCCCCAGGTCTCTCTCTCCCTGTCAACCTTTTTTTTGTTTGTTTTTTAGGGAGAGTAATTGGGGCTATGGGGGTAGGTGTATTGGAATTAGTGAGACTGGCTCAGGACAGGGCAGACTGCAGAGCTGCTGTACCTAGGGTTCCTGTGGGTCTCAGGAGACTCAACAATATATAAAAACAACAACAAAGTTATTTTATTAAATCATGCACATCACGTGTTAGAAAATCAAAAGGGC